AGGCAGATCAGTTCACCATCAGACCGCAAAGAGAAACATCATAATCTCTAGTTCAACGAACATCATCCACACCACTAATCCATCATTCAACTGCTTCATTAAAATAGTCTACTACGAATTATTTCATTCACGTTTAAACTTCATTATCACACCCCTAATATCCTTATAACCTTAAACAGTCGTAAGGACATACGCGAGTATAGACAGACGCGTATTCTCGTCAGAAACAGACCCGAAAACATTTGTTGAGTGTCTTAACACATCGTTGACCGGCAATTTTACGCAGAAGCTATCTCATGTCACCGGCTATTATTTCGTAATTGAATGCGGAAGTGAAACAATCTAAATAAACTTCAATAAACTTTATTTATACATAATGAATTGAAATAAATCTTTGGACATATGTATCTTTTATATAACTTTTAATATAAAAGAAAAGCAAAAAGTGAAAGCAAATTCTTAAATCGAAAAACTACGATTGCCGTAGTGTTATAAAGTTACTGCTGTTACAAAACGAACTAACGGCTCCCGAGATTAATTACAAAGGCGAAAATATATACAATAGAAATACATGTTGACAAATTCCAAGGGTTGGGCGGCAGGTATACCCATCGAGGACTAAACAAGTAGAACTGTGATGAGAACCTAAATACCAAGAAAAGTATTTCTTTCAGAATAAAGCGGACACGACTAAACACGATGAACAAAGCTTTTGCAATATTCTATGTTGCCCTGCGTTTCAAAAATTGAAATAGCTAATGCAAGTTGCAAACACGAGTTAACTCGTGACCGGTCAACAACTTTTGGGCATGAAAACACGAGTTAACTCGTGACCGGTCAACAATGTGTTAAACAGGAGGTAAACTTTCATTTATCTAACTTCTGAAGTGAAAAAATTGTCCTCTAAATGGAAATATTAATTTAAATTCTGCAGCAAAGTGGTTGTTTTTCAAAATATGTTATTATTCGATACTTTTAATTTGTTACTTTTTTGAGATACAAGAAGTTGGTAGGTCGTATGTATTTTATGAGGTTGTTAAGATCTTTGAGAAGGATAAATTTAGTTGTTTTAACGGAAAATGTATTACATTTTGATTTAACAATTACATCTTGGAAAAGACTACTGTTTATGAAATTTTGGAAGTATTTATTTTGTGCGACAAATCTGGAAGAAAAGAGAACGCGTTCGGACACGAAGAATGTAAAACAAATTAATATATAAATCAATGTATGTTTAATTAATAAATCGATGAAATGATATGTTTTGGTCTTGCGTCTCATAAGTCATTGAGAATTTTAGAGTTGAAATGGGTAATACTTTGCACAACAAAGTAACGTTAGCTTTTTATTAGAATATTGTGGTAAGAACAAAATTACATTTTACAAAATGAAATAAAATATTCATAATAGAGACATTTTCCACAAAGCAGAATAGTATTGTAGTTTACTTTCTATAAGGTTAATGAGGTTTTTAATAAAAAGAAAATAGCATTTTTGAAAAGAGAATGGCATTAACTGTTTCTTTCTCTGCAATCATTCTTGTACAAAACACTATCATGGTTGCTTTGTCCTTATTATCATTTGTAGCAAATCGGAAAGGTATATTTTGTAAAAGGAAACTATGTTACACGTACTGTGGTCATTGGTTTTCTGACGAAAAAGACATTCTGTAGATTAAAGTAATGCTCCGTTTTTACAAAGTAAATGAAATTCCTAGCAAAGAAGAAGTTGCATTTTTCGAGAGAGAATTACGTTACATCTTGTTATCTGTAAAATCACCAACTTCTTTATCGTTTCTTTATCATTTCATTATATAGATATTACAATGAAATTCTTCGTAACAAAAAGAAACCGATGTCTTTCAATAAAATGGTACATATTATTATCTATAAAGTCTGTAGAATCCTTGGTAAAAAAATTCTGCTTTTCGAAAGAAAGCAAATTTAAAACACTGCAGATATTTATTAACAATTTTTATAAACATTTTTATGGACTATTCTAAAAAACAGAAAAAGATCGTGAGTATTCTAAAAATAAAAAGAAAGAGGGAAAATGAAAGAATACTTTACCTTACTTTCTATAAGGTTGTCGAGGTTCTCTCCAGAAAAGAAGCACCCCGAGGCCATTAAATGTCCATGCTGAATCGATGAAAGTGTCATTGTGTTCCCATAATATTTATGCAAGATACTTTATATATTCGAGAGTTCGTACGAAACACAAGTTGGGAACATAGAAAGTTAGAAATACCACAATGAAATGTCTACAAATAAACAGAGTACTTACGCTCAAGTTATTTTATTCCATTCCCAATCTACAGAAGATGTAAGTGTTCCATTAAAATAGCGTGAAAAATGCATATTTAATTGTCAAATGAACATTCTAACAAATTTTCAATATATTCAATTCACTGTAAAGTAAAGTCTGTTATTATATATCTGTATTATCTCTTCTTTCTAGCTGAGATGGAATTCAAAAATTTCTAATTTCAATTCAAATTTTGTAGCATAAGCATTTTTCGCCTAACTATACGACGCGCCCCGAGCCACGCACGACGCGACCCCCCGTAGCCTCAGATAGTGGGATGGCGGCTCGCACTCCCCCGAACCTGCGAAAAGGCTTGACCGCCCTGATTAGTCGGGCCTAACTCCAGTAAAACATATAAAAGACGGCTTTTCGCCGTAAGAAATCAGTCTTTTCGGGAAAGCCGAACATAGACTATCATAGCAAACACCGAGCAGACGTCTCCTACGCGGGTTTACAGACGACACTCAGTGCCTTGCAAAAAAGTCAGTACGGTACGAACGAGGACTCCAGGACCGGGTTTTCCGTCCTGTTTCTACCCCCAACGTCATCCTTACCCACCCGCCTCCTAGAGACAGACGCTCTTACGCGGGTTATAGCGACACCTCTAGGTCACCTCCTAACTCTCCCACACACCCTGCCCCGAGAAAACAGACGTCTCCTTCGCGGGTTCATAGACGACAATTTCTCTTCCTTCTCTACACTCTCCCTCCCCCCCTCCCCCTGGAAAATCCGGCCGTGTCACGGCGTAATATCCCGTGACAATCGCCGCGTCCGCGACTTCTCACTGAAGACCGCCCGAGTCGCGCCTACACTTGTACATCCCCGGCGATTTGTACCTAGAATCCACGGTTTTAATAAAGAGTGTTACGAAAAACCACCCTTACAATTTAAGTTTTACTCTATTTAAATTTTACTCCAATTCATATAAGCATATAGAAAAAAAAAAACCCAACAGAATAATGAAATAACTGTACAGTAGCGTACAGTTTACTGTTTAGTAGCAAATTAATTTTAACTATTTAAAAAAATCAAAACTGTCATCTATTTTTGAATTATCAGGCAATAGCAGATGCGTTTTTCTGAAATATAGCATAAAGCGTTCAACATCACATCTCTGATCAAATATGCATTTTCGAAAAGATATCAATTAGAAATATTTAACTTTATTTTACCTTCTATTTATATGCTCTTTACCGTACTAATTTTCAGTAACTTTCGGTTCAGATCACGTACGTCATACTCATGCTGATCAAATTAACAGTTTCACACATTCTGCATTATTTTGCTTATAATATATGTGTATTTAGTCACAAATTTACTATTACTAAGAAGAAGATGTAACGTTTAGAGTGCTCTAGAGAAAAGTTAAAAATTTTGTCATTATAGGGTAGGAACTACAATAAAATAACAGCACAAATTTAATTGAACGTATTATATTAATAATCGAAGTGTAGCACAATGCGCCTGAAATTAAAGGTAGGGGATGGCCCCTGGCCATATCTGAACTCTACGCCGTAAAAATTCCGGCTGCCCCTTTAAGCTTATTGCCTTCAAAAAGACTTTCCATTTCTTCTCTCTTTTACCCTTGTCGCACGTTCGTTGCGGTCGATATTTACCTAATAATAAGGTAAATATATATACATATAATAAATATAAGGTAAGTACTTATATCTTACTGTTCGGCCATGCTCACATAATGGTCGTTCTGACCATGGAACTTGTTATTATTCAATCGATCACAGTGTTTTCCACATCCGAAAAAACACCGGCAAATTGTTTCTAATTTAGCTGAAAGCGCTCTATGTCCTTAGCACTTTATCCACAACATACGGTACTTGGGTAATAATTTTTCATTCACTCCTTGTGTGGTCATATTTCTTAACATTACAAAACCACCAACTTTATACACACAAGGTGTGTTATGCTCCTTATCTTACATATCCTTATTATATTCTTGGCTTTTGTGAAAGTGCCTACAACGATGAAAATGTGTTTAAATCCATAATTTGCTTCGACAGGAGGATCATAATGATCCACGTGTAAAGTTTCGAACGGTTTTGTACTCCTGTTGTAAATGAAAAGTTCGCCTCCTATTTTACCGGAAGGTACAGAATAAGTCAAACATACAAAATAATTGTCAATACGATTTTTAACTTGCACACACATATTATGAAGCCAGTAAATTTTAGTGATCAACTCAGTAACTTTTTAGCGCCCACGTGTTTGACATCATCGTGACAAGTTCGAATTACTTCACTAATTATCGATTCGGGTACACAAAGTAGAATTCCGTCATTGTATTTCCTGTAAATAACACCATTACAAAATTCAAATCTATCACTTTCACGCACTTCAATATCTTTCTAAATTTTCTTAATTACAGTGTCTTGTAACTGTCTACAAATTAACACTTGTTCAGATGGCAGTGGTTTAATAATTAATATATTACGTGCTGGACGATGTTCTATTTTATAATTATAATTCTGCAGAATCAAACACCATTGATTAATGCGGGAATTAATGTCCTTTTTGCTTAACGCTAATTTTGCGGCGTCATAATCGGTTATGATAGTAAAACTTACTCCTTGCAAGTCAACCCGAAATTCTTCTAACGCACAAATTATTGCCACCGTCTCCAATTCTTAACTATGATATCTACTCTCTGTATCAGTGGTTCGTTTACTAAAATACATTACTGGGTGCATATGACGGTCAGCTTGCTGCTGCAATAATGTTGCACCATACCTGTATGAGCTCGCACCTGTGTGTAATTCTGTCTGTGCAGTTGCATTATATATAGATAATATCAGTTGGCTTATCAACATATCGTATAATATCTCGAAGGCTTTTAGTTTTTCTTCACCAAATTTAAAAGGTGCATTTTTCTTCGCGAGATTATAAAAAGGTTTTGTAATCAAGGCAAAATTTGGTATAAATTTTCTAAAATAACCTGTTAGTTCTAAATAGCTCTGAATTTGTTTTACAAAATGATTCATTTGGTGTAATTCCATCTTTAAAAATATTATAGCCGAAATACTCAATTTCTGTCTTCAAAAACTTACATTTGCTGAACTTTAATACTAATTTATATCGAGTCATAAGTTTAATACTTCCTTAAGAATAACTAAATTATCGGAAATACTACTCGTTGCGATCAAGATATCGTCAAGATATAGCAATACCTTATTGGAATTAATCAAGGGTTTAGATATTAAATTAATGCCGAAGATTTATAGCGCTACCTTAATTCATTAATGCCTCAAGAAAATATTCTTGTTCCTTTTCTTCCGTTACTAAGACGCAATAGTCACGGAAGGTATTTTCCAATGACATCCGTAGCCGGGAACGTTTTCCAACTGTCGAAGTTTGCGGAGTACAAGCGATACCACTACCGGCTTCGCTGGATCTATGTAGTTCTGATTTCCTACAGTCTTTAGGCGACGTGTTTCTTTTAACTGAATACGCCGGAAAAAAATGATTATTATAAGAGTTATTTGGTATGAAGAGAGACATTATGTGGTGCATATAGTTTTTTTGCAGGTGGAGTAATGGGAGAGATGTCATAGTTAAGTAATTTCTTTAAATTGAATATTACACATCTTCGTTCATAATACGATAGCGTTTAAGGTGATTTATGTATTAGAAGGTTATAAGTTAGCAAAATCCTAAAGAGTCAAGTCAACGTGAATTGTGGGTCGTCGCGTCGCGTCGGTTAGCTGAAGAACTCTACGTGATCGTGCTACGGGCTCGAACTAGGCTGTCTGTTTGGTTGTTGTGTTTCTGCCCTACTTATATTCAATGACCTTGTGTGACAGACCGTTAAATTCATCTTAACATACGTATTATGGATAAAAATGTATACTATTTCATTAAAAAAAATTAACTTGACCCTGAAATCTTCCCCATTACTCTATCTGCAAAAATAACTATTTGCATTATACAATGTCACTCTCTATACCAAACAACCCTTCTATCGTAACAATATTTTCATATCTTCAACGGTTTACGAGATATTCCGGTGTAAATATCTAGTTTAAAGAATCACCCTGTATGTATGTCTTAACTTACCGCACACGAAACATGATTTTTTATCTCTCTTTTGAAGAGTTCGCGCGTTGACCATGTGTCCTCTATTACAGTTAAAGCTCTTCTTTCATCACGTCAGTTTTAATAACTGATCTTGCACTTCCAGCAAAATTCCTCCTAGTGTCCGATTTTAATGTTATTTTCTCAAAAACTCGGATTGTGATGAGGATGTATTGAAACAATGCATTCGTGCCTGATCACGTTGTTAGGTTTTCCGTAGAAACGGTTCATGGCACGATCGACCGGGAACGGTTATTTTTCAGTTCAGGATTTTCGTTTATTGCTTGCACGGGTCTAATTACATCCTGCGAGGGTCACTAGGTCCGCTTGCCGATTTGTCACCCGGAGGAAATTCCAGATTTTTGGGACCTTCCGCCCACCCCTCGCGGCCGTCTCCCACCCTTCCAAGGTGACAGCGCGCTAAGGGCGCACTGGAAGGGCGGTAAAGACGATATTAGACACGTTGATTGGCAAATGCAATCGTTAACCATTAACCAATCAGCGTGTCCCAACAAACATCCCTCTCACGGACGTCGGAGACGCGACGTCGGAGAGTTGAGTCGTCGAGTAGTCGTTCAACCACCACGACTTCAACTCATATCACGCGATACCATAGATCAGTTTTTACAAGTCCCAATCATTTGGGTGGTCCTTCGAACCAGTATCTAGACGACACAACATCGTGCAAACATTCAGAACGCTCGAAAGTTCATCGCCACAACCACGGGCAATACACACGTAGACCAGGGCCGCTCAGGCAGCCATTTCTGTAGCAAGAGCGCTTTTTTTGCTCCGAGCAGAGCCGAGAGCAGCAGTCGGAGCAAGTGACATCGACAATAGTAAATGGAGTGGGAAACAACAGTAGTATGTAGTGGGAGTGTAGGCTCCTAGGGTTGATACATTTGTAAGGCGTTTCGTATTATCGATTACTTTTTTTAACACGTGCTTATCTTCGAATCATAGTTCTCACTCTTACGATTAGGCCGGGCGATCACTACTACATTCATACAGTGCCCCACTACAGAATCGTTGCTTGAGTCGGCGTAGTTTACTGCTACAATATCGCTCTGTGCTCCCGTTTGCCTGACAACTTCACATAGAGCAACTTTGTGAGCAGTCTGGTCCACTATTTCTTCTTCCTCTTCAATTCTAACTTGGTTAGCCAAATTTAGTTTACCATGGTAATATTCGTTGAAGTTCTCACCCACATTCCAAATCCTGTTTCCAAATTTCATTCTTAATATTAATTTATTAGGCAGATGATAAAAAAATTTTTTTTAATGTTTTGTAATAATTCTTCGACGCCCATCTCTACGTGTTCTGCTTTTAAATATAACCAATCGAGCGCTTTGCCTTTAATTTTGGAAATCATAAGAATTCTCGTACATTCATTATCTAAACCGTGACTTATTTGAAATAATTTTGCTCACTTTTTTCATATGGAAAATATGCTATCTGCGCTATAAAAGTCACTTGAAATGTCACCAATAGTTGTTATATTCAGTTATATTCAGCGCTACCTACACTTACATGGAATGAAGCAAATTTCTTAAAATTTCATTTTCCCGACGTAAAGGATCAATTTCTCTACTTATGAGCTCTTTTTCTCTCTTTGCAAGATTCAATTCCCTTAAAAAAAGCTCTTGGTGGTTTGTCATATTTTCAGATTGAACCGCCAGATTTACTTCTGAGATAATTCATGTCTTACCTCTTTCTCGCCCTTTGTCGCACGCACGCTACGATCAATGTTGCACGCATGCACGCCACTGTCACACCTATTCTAACATTAAGTCACTTCTGTAATCTTACATCATATTTATAGAATTAAAGTCAATACACGTAAATATCAAACGATCTGTACAAAAAATTCAGCGTGGGATATACATATGTATGTACCCCATGTGACATAGGACGCGCTGAGGACATCCTCTTTTCCATTTACATCCTGTATAAAATGGCATTCTTCCACAGACTCTCTACACACTTGCCAAAAATCTCAATTTCACGATACGCAAAGAATTTTCTTTTCGAAGCCGTTATCAGCGTGCACGTTGACGAGGTGGTTGAACGGGGTCGAACATTCGTCATTTTTTCCCCTAAAGCGTCGCGCAACAAAGAACCTGCAGCCCGTTCGTCGGTTCATCGTAAATATTCATAGACGCCTGGCGAATAGAACGGCGCACATGACAAACGATCTCAACCTTCACCCGAATTTCATTCCTCGATACTGCGTAATTGGAAGTCACTTGCGGCAAATTGGATGTGGCGAAGATGAGTGGCACACTCGATTCACGTTGATTATTCCGAATCGTTGAAGGGAAAGACGAAGACCAGTTATCCGTCTTTGTCTTGTCGCACGCGTTATCCACCAATCACGTTTCCGTCCCGTGAAACGCGTTATACTTTACATAATGACACCGTTCCCGTTGCGGTGTAAACGTCCCTACAACAGTAGCAGCAAGCAGTAAATTTTTAAATGTGGAAAAGAATTTTCTCTTTCTTTAATTTAAAGTATTGCTTAATTTTGTAATATTACGTGAAATTTATTTTTCTTAGCCATTACTCCGTTCAGTTATATGACTGAAATTTGTAATATCTTGGTTGGTGTTAATAGCGATGGCTATATTTGATTCGATGAAATAGGTTAATTTTTGGGTATATTGATAGAGCAGATAAAGTAACGTATATATATTAATAAAAAATTGTTTCATTGTCATAATACAGTTTCTGTTTTTTTTTTCTAAGTTGAATTAACCAGTAGTATTGATTAATTGCGGCGCAAAAATGCTTGTTAAGTAAACAACATATTACATCATTTAATATATTTTAAGTACTTTTGATAGTAGATAAGTATTGATTTGCTGCTCTTTAGTTTGTTCTTTATGGTGGATTTGAAATTCTTTTCCGATTTGATTATCTTTTTGCCAAATATTCCATATGATGGAAAATAATGTGGTTTACAATATTGTTTATTGAAAAAGTGCAATAGGTGCTTCCATATTTTAAAATATTTTATAAAACGTAATAAGTTTTTATTTTTTATTGGTTCAAGTAAATTTTATTCCATATGTTATGATAAAAGTTTGCATTGCAGAAAATATATGAATTGAAAAATTCTTGTAAACATATATGTATGGATATTTAGTAAAATATAAATGATAAAATTATTATAATGATATTATTTTTAATTGTCTCTTGAAATATATAAATTGTGAATTTGTAAATCCAGAAATCATCCTCAATTCATAGTATCAACATTTTCAATCGATACTGAAACTTCATAACGCAATCTCGAGGAAAGTATTGTCACGTTTTGTCCTGTTATTAAAAACAACAAAAGTATTTCAAACCTCAATGTTTATCCACATAATGTATATTTAAAAATTCTATCTGCATTTAGATACGAACTTTCTAACTTCTCCCTTTTTCTTATTCGAATAAAAGGGAGGATTTAGAAATTGAAAAAAATTGCATTTTCGTTTTTCTAGCATGGTTATGCAAAGTGATAGAAACTCCTATCTCGTTGGTGAGATCAAAATTGAAGCGAGTGTGTGCATGTACGTATGCGAGTAATGCGATCACTTTCGTGGGAAGACCTACGAGATTTCGAAACTTCGAAAGCATCTGCCGTTATAGAAGTCCTATAAATTGTTGCAGCCTCGCGGAAACTGTTTAAAATTACCATCTTCATGCCTTCGGCCAAGATTCCTTCTTGTTTATGTACCCACTTGAAATTCGCATGTACGAATCGATGTACGTAATGCTTAATAGGAGAACTTATAGTAGAAACAGCAAATTCGTTTGGATAATGTTAAATAAATATCAATGCAATTCTTATAATATCGTTAAAAATTTTGTTTAAATTGAGCTTTGAAAATTGTACTTTTTAATTTGTAGAATTAGGTTTATTTTATGTAATTATTATTAAGAGTTTACAAAAAATTCATTTTTCTATTGATTTTCTATTGATAAAAGTGACGTTCTTTTTTCTTATTTGAAAGTAAATTATTCTGAAACTTTGTTTGTAAAATTGACTATTGAAAGCAAGTTTGTATGGCAACATTTGTTAATACAAATTATAGATAGAATTCTCTTACTAGTAATTATTTGTATAAGTCATTTATATAAAAGTGATTGAACATGGTACATGTAAGTGTATATGTATAACTATCGCTATCATAAGCTTAATATATAGGTTAACGAATAAATAGAATTTAAAGGAAAAACTGTATAAGAGTCAAGTGATTAAAGAAAAACTAAAGTCATTCTATTTCAACCTTCAGACATATACATAATTCAGTATTTCAATATGAGTCTATCCTGTTTATGACAAGTATTGCGAAATTATGACAACGCAACTACAAAATCCACGAAAGCAGCTTTCTTATCCAACGTAGGCGGATCTTATTGTCAGCGAAAATTAGGGAAGTGTACGAGGGGGTACCCAAATGAAACCGAACTTATTTTTTTTTTTAACTTATTTATTCAAATTTTAAGCACAAACCTTCAATCCCTTTCAAAGTACCCTCCACTTGCACTAAAACACTTGTCTAATCTTTTATTCCATTTTTCAAAACATTGTTTAAATTCATCTTTTGTAATGCTTGACAGCGCCTCCGTCGTTTTTTTCTTCACCTCAGCAACATCAGCAAAATGCTTTCCTTTCATGTCCCTTTTCATTCGATGAAACAAAAAAAAGTTTTGATCATTTTGGGACTTTTCTTTCAAAGCACAGCATGCTTCCACGCGACCTTGTTTTTGTTCAGCAGTCAGCAGTCGTGGCGCGAATTTGGCAGCCACCCTTTTCATTCCCAAATCTTCTGTCAAAATTCGCTGAACTGAACTCAAAGTCACTCCCAACAGCTCCACAATTTCTTCAATAGTCCGTCGTCGATCTTTCTCGATGATTTCACGAATTTTTTCAACATTTTCATGTGTTCGGGCCGTGGAGGGACGACCAGAACGAGGTTTGTCATCAATTGACATTTCACCATTTTTGAAACGGGAAAACCACACTTGAGTTTTCCCCATAGCATCGTCTTTGTACGCTGTTTCTAATATTTCAAGAGTTTCTGTTCCACTTTTTCCGAGCAAAAAGCAGAATTTCACCAACGCACGCTGTTCACGAAAATCAGTCATTGCAAAAACGACGATCACACAAAACAGTTGCCGCTATAAACTCTGCCGAAACTAGTCTTTACCTTCTTCAGCGATGGTACTCGGCGTACCGACTCAGGAATGTTAGTTCTATGCGCTCTTAGCAGCAAAACGCGGTACTACAAAAGCTCTGCCCACCAAAAAATTAGTTCGGTTTCTTTTGGGTACCCCCTCGTATAGTCACACAGGAACATCGCGTCAAAAAAATATAACATCTTTCAATAATCATCCAAAGCAAATTAACATCTAGCCAGCGTTTATCTCTCTACAAATTCATAAAATTCGATCGTCTCCTTCCTTGATCGCGTTCGCCACGTTTCCAATATTTTTCTTTCTCGGGAGTATCTCAAGCAACAGTATTTGAATATCGTATGCTATTGTATGCTATTGACTTAATCTTGCCGTAAATTATACGTATTTAATAGATTAAAGACAAGGCATTTGTTCACATATCTTATTACGGGATAAAGTTGTGATTTAAGGTCTAAAGAGTTAGCATTCTGAAGCTTAATTACAAAATACATTTGCTCGAATTTCTTCATAATAACTGAAGTACTATTTTTGAAAAAATACTTTTCATATTCAAAAACACAGTTGAAAATGAAACGACACAAAGCATTTTTGAGTACAGAGAAAGTCTAATTTATCTTTTTCTAGAACTATGTGTAACATTCTTGTCACGTAAAAAATATGACAAACACAAAATCAAGCCTTTGCACTATAAAATTTTTGAATTTTTCATGCATTTTTTTGAAAATTATAAATTTATCTTCTGAAATCCTTTAAAAGATTGCACGTACGGCCATAATAATGTACAAAGAGTTACGTACCTACTAATCACAAGTTTTCTAAAAATCTTCAATTGACCCACATCTTAATATTCTCCGACTTGCCTCGGCAATCCCCATTCGATCCCGTTGCAGTTAGTTGGGAACAAAATTGCACGCGGGACCACGGTCTTGCGGGTGGATATAATGCGGTTCGAAGGCGGCAGTCGAAGCAAACTCGGAAGAGTGTACGCGTATTATGACGGAACACGATATTACGGGCTTTGATTTACTCGAGGGTTCGAGAAGCTCCAGAGCAACGTGAAACAAGGAGAAATGCAAGAATATGAACAAGAAGCGGGGAGAGGAGGAGAGAGTGAGGAGGAGTCGAGGCGGAACACGATAATTGCGGGGAAGGATAATTTAACAGGCAGCTCTTTTCCGCCTCGAATTCTGCTCTCATCCATTTCTCTTCTCCTTCCTCAGCATTCCGCGGCCCTCAATGCCTCTCTCGTTTACGTTTCCTCTTTTTCCCACCATGCTGAAGCAGCACGCAGAGTCGCCGTCAAGTGATCGGTATGGCCCGATTTGTCGCGTTATGTTTTCTGGGTTAGACTGGCAATTGAGTGCGTATGTCGTCTGCGGGCAATGAGCGTTGCTTGCTTTCTTTTCGTCTCTTTTCAACTCTTTGTTGGCAGCGAGTTAGTAGTGAAACTGGACAAAGATGCACTTGATGAGTGAAATGAAATTAAAAGCATGGAAGAAAGAAAATAGTTGGAGTTATGTGTAGATGTCATATAGTAATGCGAATAATTGTGATAGTGGAAACTATCACAAGTGGAAACATTGACTAATTGAAAAATGTGCAGAATTCATTGGGATTGACTTCTTTTCTCTTTGCTTCTACTATTTATTCATGTACATAGTTGCGCAAAAATTTAAAAACATAAATTTATAGTACAACTGTACTATATTTGTAACAATGATTATATATTGTTTATATTATTTTAAATGATATATTTGTGACAGGCCTCCGAATAATATAAGCACAAGAAAAAATTGCAAATTGCTCAAACGGATATTTAAATATATTATTGCATCATACATATAAACATTTTAGCTTCACGATTGCTTAAATAATTTTTGGATAGTCATAGACTGAAATGCTCTTACATAGCAAAATGTATAGATTTTAAAGCCGTCATGTCGTTGGTTTTTCTTTAAAACACAACTGAATAATTTTGGAACCTGTAGTGCGTAAAAGTAAACAAAATTTCCCGTGGACACATAATTTTCGCGTATAAAAATCTAGTCCTAAAACGTAGTCTGAATAAAATATAATAATTTATGATAGAAAAATAGCTAATGGTGATTCAAGGATAGCATTGATATAAGTGTTTCAATCACCAGCATATAATTAGCAGAAAAAATAATGTTAAAAGTTAGTTTAGTTAGTAGTTTAGATGCTTGCTTTAAAAACAAAATTTGTTAAAAATGCAAACCTCTCGGGAAACATAATTCCTGCAAGAAATTACCTGACGGAATGAGATATTTCATGTTAATAATTATCCGGATATTTTCCACGTCAAGGATGAAATACATATTCCAATCGTGATCAAATTTCAGGAAAATGATTTTAAGTTTCTTTATTCCCTTCTACATTTTCCGTCCTTTCGCTTGCGTTTTATTTATCCTGTAATTTTAATGAAGCTTACCTGCTCGACTTCGTCGAAAGGAATATTCCATAAAATTATGGGCATTGGGGAAGAGGAATATTAATAATACTAAGAGCATCAAAGAAATTAATTTGTACGTTCTTTCCAATGTAGCTAACAAAAACATTAATTTCATGCTTTTATTCAGAAATATAATTTGCTGAAAAATTTCAAAAGTTCTTGAGGAGTGTTATTTTCAAAAATAACTTCACAATGTAAATACTCTTAATTCCTTCTGTTTCGCAGCCTTCGGCGTTCTTCGTCCTCTAATCTGTAACTATCGTTAATGCTAAAATAGAGCCAATTTTTGTGAAAATTAATATCTCACAAAATACAAAAATTCGTTCGAAACATCTATAAGTAACTCGCCACAAGTGATTAAAAGAGTTAGTATCTTCAAACATTGCTGTTTAAAATAAATCTCTATTTTTCCTACTACATTTACCAACGTAAATTCAGTTCCACTATAATATACTTCATAAACTTCTCAATCATTAATCTGAGCAAAAACAAACCTGAAAACCATCCCTTCGAGAGCAGCTAATTCCAAAGAAAGAATCACCTCCTCAACCACGATGAAGCAAGCTTAATAATTGGCGGGGTCGAAGCGAAACTATCGATTCCCATCGCCGCGTGGAACTCTCGATACAATTTCTCCAACCCGTCCTCGCCCAATCCCTATGAATAACCCAGCGAGCGTTGTTTTTTCTATCGCGCGCTACTCATCGATCCAGCTGCCGGAATCCACTAGCACACTTCTCCCTTCCGCACCGTTCTCCCTCTTTCTAAAGTCGTGTCCATGAAAAACGACAACAAATAGCTGATAGGCAAATTCCACGAGCACGACGCCCTCCGCCGGTATTTTCAGCGCCGCTTCCGTTGTTGCTTTTGGTCTGACACGAGGAGTTAGAGGGGGGTAGCCACCCCCGTCGCTGGAAGACAGTCCGCGTAGGACAGTACGGTAGTATTTATGGAAATGAACCAAGGTAGTTTGAATCCATTTTTCGTCCGCCATTCTACCAACCCCTCCAACGGCTCGTTGTCCTCTGTCTCCTGCTGTCTTCTTCTATACCGCCTCTCGTCTTCCTCCAGCCGTCTCCTCCTTTTCTCCCTCTCGTATCGTTTTGCTCCGTTTTTCCGGCTGTTTCCTCCTCCGGCTTCCCTTCAGCCGCGAGCCGGCGTGCCTGTGTATTTTGCGGGAGGAAATCCGAGCGCAGCTGACGCCACTGTTTGCCCACGTAATTACGTGGAATTCATAAGTTACGAAGCGGCACGCGTGCCGTTGGCTCCGTTACTTTTATTCTTATACCATAATTTAAGTCGGAAAGAGGTCTCCTTTTCGAATCCCTCACACCGGTTCTTCCCTGGTTCTACTCATCGTGCGCTCTTTTTCCGCCCGTGTTCTCTGCATTTTCTATCGTTCATGCAATCGAATGGCAAGTTCGTTTCCTTGCCCTCTCTTTTTATTCTCCTTTTCCTCCGTCTTGACTTTCAGTCTATCCAACGACTCGTTATCACAGCCAGTTTATTCCTGATAGCACGAGCGAGCGAGCTGGCTGGTGCGCTACTACCCTCAAATTCGCTGGAATTCCAAATTAATTGAGCCTCGAGTTCCGCGAGAGTTTACCTTTCACGATAAATCCGCGGAATCGTCGGCGAGTTTTAATGGAAACGCGAGCACGCCAGCAGTTTCGGTTTAATGACCTTCGGTCAAATAAATTCGCCTGATTTTCCCAAACGAGTCGAGAGGCCGCGGAACGATATAATTGAATCGAATTATTATACTAGGCGCTTGCTTCTGGAAGCTGTGTATGAGGATGATAGCGCGTGCGCAAATGAGTCGAGTATTTTTCTGTCGTGTTACTTTCCGCCAGTTGAGTCCAGCGTTAATTCGGTACTACAAAAATACCAAGGAGCACACTGTTTACGTAATTAACCTCTCGTTGGCCGGCCATTGTTTGTGACAAATCGTTCCCTGTCCTTTTATTAACTAGCTCTTCTTCTCACCCTCCCCCGTTTCTACCATTGG